AGTTCTTACTAGATATAGGGTAGGCGGATATATATAAGAGGGGACAACGTGACGCGTGAGGAGAGAGAGATAGTGAGTAATTCAACTGCAGTCACACGGTATTGTTGAAGTTAATGTTCGTTCGTTACAGTGTTGTTTTAGCGCGAGTATTGAGATTAAGTGTATCGCAGAGTTATATTCGGAAAGAATAAACCAGTTTTATTAAGTAAAGACTTGTGTCGTTAAAGTTTCGTCGGAACGAAGTTACGGAAAGTTAATTAACAAACGGAGACGTAACACTACATTTTCAACATGTATTTATACTTCAACAGAGGTCTAGAACATTCCATACACTACTAGATATTATGATGCAATAATACTCAATTAAAACAACGAGAAAAACTCGGAAGGTTCTAGTAACATGATGCAGTAATATAACAATAACCAGTTCATAACTATTGAACTAGACAACATATATTTGTAAACAATTATGTAAACAAACTTGCGATAAGCTGTCACTTCTAAAGAAAACTAAATTTAATACTTGCACTATATAAACTATCTAAATCATAACTTAAAATAGTCGTGTATATATAACATTATCTGGTTTAAAAATATCTATAGGATCAAAACTGTTTACATGGATATTATATCTTTCTTTGACTTGTTGTCATTTGTTACAAGAGATTTTTCATTAGAAACATTAAATTTCTTATTTTAATTCTACAGCAAAGATCCTAAAATGGCTCTTATCCAGATGGGATCTGTGGAAGAAGCTGTGACTGCTCTGATTGTAAGTTTTTCTAGCGCTGGTAAACTCCAAATAAATATAGATTTTATATATTTACCTACACACTTGAGTGACGACATATATTTATTAGTTTTATGAAACTTAAGAGGTTTTTGATATGGACGTAATTTGTGCTCTCATTAAACTCTTAAACCATCTTTCTTATTTATATCTAATAAGTTTATTTATAATAATTCTAGAAAATGTTGTAACTGCTGAAGAATTGAGTTAGGTGGTGAATTTTCGAAAATCCTGGTCTTTTATTTTTATTGTGCAATACTTTGTCTTTTTTTTTTTTTTTACCTAAGTTTTCATTTTATATCTTAGAAATTAATGTTTCACATTATCTCACAATTACTTTTCCAGATTTTTAAACCTGATTTAGTATTGGTTAAATTTTCTTGAATATTTAAGGAATATCTGTAAATTCATTAAACCCAAGTTCTGCTTTTACTGGCAAGTTCAAGATGAAAAATGGTTTTGTTTAGTTCAGTTTGGAACCAAAAGGGCATTATATTTTGTCTTACTCCATTTTTCCTAACTTTAGGACTAATTTTGTACTACTTGATTGATTAATTTTTTTTTCCAGAAAATGCACAACTACCAACTGAGTGAATCCAGTCACTTAAGAGTGTCCTTTTCCAAATCAACAATCTAAGTCGGAAATCAAGGTTTTTTAGAGCAGATTAAAAAATAAAGAAATCTGATTTATTGACTAGCCTGTTGTCCAAATTGCCTTGCTAGAAGACTATTGCCATCATCACTGTGATACAAGGAAGCTTTGAAGCAAAACAGAATACCTTGGAATTGGTCCAGTCCTTCAAGAACATATGTTGAAGGTTTGGCAAAGAAACTGTGCAGTTTTATAAATAAGATTGTATGCACTAATACCTGTTGTAAAAGTGGGAAATGTAGTCAAAATTAAGTTTTATAATGTACTAAAATAGTGTCATAGCAAGAGAATCACCAATACAGGAGTTACAAACTAGTCTAGATAATGATGACCCAGAAAATTATTATATTTAAAGGTTATAAATTAGCCTAGATAGATTTGACTTGGAAAGTATTCATGTTGAAAGGGTTACAAATTAACCAAGATAGATTAGGCTTGGAAAGTATTCTCATTGACAGGATTACAAATTAACTGAGATAGATTTGACTTGGAAAGTATTCATGTTGAAAGGGTTTACAAATTAGCCTTAAAAAGTTTTGGCTTCGAAAGTATTCTTGTCAACAGAATTACAAATTAACCAAGATATAGATTTGGCTTGGAAAGTATTCTTGTTGACAGGGTTTACATATAAAGCTAGAGAGCCTTGGACCATAACGTAATTGTATTTAGTTTAAGAAAGAAAAACTAAATTCTGTTTGTTGAAAACTTGACTCGACAAGAGATTCTTACTGAATGCTTTTCATTGTCCCGTTACTACATTTTTGAAAGCTGTCTTTGTATCACAGCCATTTCTTTATTATGTATTAATTCAGTTATGTCCACTAGTTGGTCTCCAGGGGACATTTTATATATATATAGATATATATATATATATATTGTATTTTTGCAAGCTTATCTAGTGTAGTGTATGTGGTGGTTATAGAATTTCATGTTTGTAAATCTATTTTTGAATATTTCATCCACTCAATTGATTTGCTTTATGTGGAAAAGAAATAATTTGGTATTGGTTTTGTTTTTGTTACAAAGTTATTATGTCTTACTTTTAATTAAGCTCTAATAAGAAAGCTGTCCTTGTAATGTGAGTAGTTTATTTTTCATACAAAAACGTTGAATTGATTACATTTACACTACCATAATACATGATGAAGTAAAACTATAGCTGCTTGTTCCTTACTCTTCAAAAGTTGTTCTTTAGAATTACAAACCTATTGCTATAGTAAAAAAAAATGGAAACTATTAATTGATAGTTAACAGCATTTGATTTTATGCAAAATAGTTTTTAACACTAAACATAAAAAGTGTGTAAAAACATTTAAGTTAATTATTGTAATTTTAAACTTCTGAAGGATCAGGAGCTTGGGACAATATCAGTTATAAACTGTTCTTCTGTTAAATGGATTGTAAACATGACTTGTATCTTATCATAATATCTGTGTAACTTAGGAAGAAATGCTTTGTATAAACCTGTTGCAAGTTATTCTCAAGTAGAAGAAAAAACACTTTTTTATGAACTACAATATATTGCAATAGTTATTCTGACAAACAATACAAATCAGTATCATGAAGTTTTGCAAGTAACTGAGGGGTATTTAATCTCTTCAAAATTTGCCTTTCATTGACATGTATATGAAAAATGGAAATATTTTTGTTTACTATTTATATTTGCTTTTAAATATAAAATTTATCAATTTGTAATACTAAAATAAGGCCACTTTGGAGAAATAAGGATACCTGCTTGCATACACATTTGTATCAAATATTTTTATCATTATTAAGATATTGAAGACAAATATGTTATTCAAGTGTGCCTTGCAATAAAGTGTTAATAACAAAACCAAATTTCTTGAACAAAAAAAAACTGTTTGTGCTTCAGAAGAATTATTAAATGTTGGATCTTACATTTATAAAATGAATGTCAAAAGTTATTGGTATAGGTAAACCACAAAAATAAGTTTTATGACAAATTAAATGTAAGGTTGAGGGGTGAATATATCCCTCAAATTTCTGTGCCTTTGAAAACCACAGGTGCTTTAATTAGCATCAACCATTTAATGATAACCTTTTTTTCAAATTTTATAGTACAGAAGTTAAACATTTTACTCAATCTTTAGGTATACTGAAGATAATTTCTGTAATACCTGTTCACGTGATGTATATTTTTTTGATAAATATAACCTGGCTTATCTTTTGCAATAACAAATGCAGCTGAACTAACAAGTAGTAGCTTTAATATTTCAGAAATGGTATTCACCTATCTGCACAACAAAGCTTTTTACCTTGTGCACTGCCATGAAGATTTCGTGTACATACAACAAGCCTTGGATGAAGCTCCCACCCCTACACGTGCTAACATGCATCATGCCAGTCTATGATGTAATCATCATTAGACTATGGCCTTCCATCAATAGAAGGGCAACACATCCTCCATATGTGGCAATTCCCATGAGGAAAAGTTCATTCTTTCCTTGGCACTGCTTGTCGTAGGACTTACTGGAATGTTTCCATTTATTATTTTAAACTTTTATTATCATTTTTAATGTAATATTTTTTTCCTTCATTTTCTTTGTTATATGAAAGGGTGGTGATAAATTTTAAACTTATCAGTTTGTACTTCTGGGACACATGTCCCATTATCCGTTTCTGTTGTTTACCCCAACATGAAGATTTCATCCAGTACTCTTCACAATCATCATTAAGCCTAGGCATTAGTTCCATACCAGGCTAATTTTATTCCTATAGAAAAAAAAACATTAACATCAGTTTTGTGGATCAGCTAAATTATGCATTCATCTTCCCATGTTTCTGGTATCTACTGAGGTTTTTGACACAGGAATCATCTAATACTGTAACGACAAGTATATTGTATACTTTTGCATCAGCATTCATCTTTGGATACTGTGGTTTCTTGCCTTTGGGATTGGGAAGCCTCATCGTGTTTGGCCTCATGGAGTTGCCCCTCTTCTGTTCCTTGTTCTGTTGTTACTATCCAATACTCAATAGGCTGTAATAAAGGGAGTCATCAGGAGTTTTTCCTATTCTTACACTTTCCACCTTATCTGATTCAAACACCATAGGCCAATTCCTCAACTTCAATGTGGGGTTTTTATTCCCATCTTTTTTTGTCATTCCCGCTTGACACAACTTTGCTCTTTCAGACACTCTTTCCACTGCCAGCCTGCCTTTTGTTTCCTTTGGTTTGTCCACAATGGTCAAACATTTGGTTCTCGGCCCCATATTTTTCATTGGGTCTAGCGAGCTTTTACTTATAGGTTACATTCTTGAGGCCTTTTGTTCCACTACTTTATGGATGTTGGACTTCTACTTACCCCTTCCAACATGTCTTTATTTTGTCATTGAGACCTAAAGCTTTTGATACCAAGGCTCTTACGTCTTGTACAAGTGGATTTCTCTCGAGTCCCTTGTTCCTCTTGGATGTCCTTCCTACAAGTTCCATTCAGTGATTTTTGGCATGCCAATGTATGTACATCCAGAGATCCACTGTTCTCTTTTTTCCCATCACCTTTCAGGCTTAGATGTGTTTTGAGTCCTCCAGGGCTAGAAGTTAATTTGTGGGTTTCCATATCTGCACCGAGTGCAGTATAGGTAGCACACTGTTTTTCTTTGTGCTTGACAACAACCAATCCTTTCCATCAGTACCTCTGTTCAGATGGAATGCCTTATCCAATCTCTCACCAAGTGATGTTCCACTAAGCTACCCCTTCTCTTGTAGATGACATGCTCTGGGGTCTTACCCTTTCTATCGCAGTAATTTCTTTATTTGCATGTGGGATTCTAGTTGTTTTTAGTGCAGAAAGGTTAGTAGCATTTCTGAAGTTAAAATTTTCTGTACCTGAAAATTTATTTTGGAGAGATACTCACCTTTCTGCAAAACATCACTCCCTTCCTACCCATTTCTGGTGTATTTGTCAAGAATGAGCCTTTGTTCAAGTGCTTGTGGGGATTGTCACTCTCCTGTTGGAGAAGGGCTATATAGTCTAATGATGATCGTTTAATAAATGTTAACATGTATAGGGGTGAAAGCTTCACTCAAGGCTCGTGCCATGTGCAGGAAAATGTGCTTGAAGTAATAGCTACTTGTTATACAGAGTGGTGTCTATCTCAAGTACAAATTTAGGTAAGAAAAACCTTCATTTTGTTTGGACTAATGGAGTATTTTAAGAAACAAGAATTTATTTCAGGAAAGTCATCTGTTAAAGTACCTGTACATAACTGTGAAAGATATACTCCATTCAATGTTCCCTATTAACCATAACTTGTAGAGCACTGAAAAAAACAGTCAAGATATTTGACTGTCCGTGAATAGCTGTCATTTTATTTCTACTACTATTGGCTTTGTAGTTGTTGATCAGTGTCGGTTATATGTGTTTGCCTTCCAAAAAAAAAAGCTGTTTTTGGTAGTACATTCTTCTGAACTTTGCTGTGTACTTTTTCAAGAATTGATATTAAACTTCTTGCGAAATGTGTAAAAAAATGTTCTCTATTCATCAGTTTTTTTTGTGTATTTTTTCATGGTTGTACAGGCTAGTGCATCCTACTACTTGTGAGATGGTACTGCTTACTTTTATAAATATTTTTCACAGTGAAGTTTCCTACATTTGATAACCCTAACTTTATTTCTAATAACCACATGTGTGTATTGTGCATTTCCTGGAAGTACTTAATGACAGTATTCTCAACTACATAACAGTGTTTTATTAATGTACAAGGTCTACTTTCTGGTAATTAATAAATAATATTTTGAAAGTTTCCTTTATAAATTAAGTTGCTCTCAAAACTTTCCAAGTTAAAATCAAGCTATAATTGGTGCAGAATTTGTAACTATTTTCCCCGGATACCTTTGTTTTTGAGGCTAAAGCAACGCTCAGATAAATTGCATATCATTGTTATTTTTCCATTAATAACAATCTCTATATTTAGTTAAAGTTATAATAAATGACAGTGGTACACTTACAAACAGGAGAGGAACCTGAATCATAATGAAAGTTATAATAACCTGGTCTTATTTTCATACAGGTTGAATTTTATCCTAGTGTTAACCTTATTAACCAATATGAATACAAAAGAAATGTGTTAATTAAAAAAAAACTATTTTTAGTTTTGAAATGTTATTATGTAGACAAATCTGCACTTATGAAAACAGAATATTCAAAACGTAGCACCCACTGATATAATTAAACTCATCAAAAATTTATACGAGCGAAGATAGGCTTTTGTTCATGTTGTAAAACCGACTAAATATTTTAACAAGGACAGGTCTCAATAACAAGATGTGTACTTTTACTGTAGTTCTTTAATAAAACAAAAACCATAATAAACACAATTTTATGTACAGTTACACACCAGTATTCTGTTTCTTACTATATTTTAACTTGGCGTGATACTTCTTAGGATTGATCCCATATGCCTTTAACCGCTCGTCTGATAATCCAAGTGTGCCAACACTGGACGATTTCTTGTGAAAATCTCCAAAGGTTTTCCTTTTATTGTTTTTACTTGTACCTGAAGAAAACTGTTCTTTCTTACCAACATCACTTTTATGGAAGGAGCTACCTGAAATTCCATTCTTGGTCTTATTAACAGAAAATAAAGGGGTTGGTTCTGAAGAATGTGCAACAACATTTGATTTGTCACCTTTCCTTTTCTTACTCTCAAGATGTGTCAAATTTGAGTTTTTTAAATTTTCTTCCTTTTTATTTTCATGAACTTCAGCTGTTTCAACGCTACTTTTTTCAGGATTTGACTCATCTGTGTTTTTTAATTTACTTTTCCTATGCCTTTTCTTTTTAGGAGCAGGCTCTTCTGCTTGTCTGCAAGAACAAATATAAACAATACCCGTTTCAGCTGCACCTTCTTAAACAAATTAAATTAAACTATAGTTGGTTAAATTTATCAAAAACTTGTATAAAGATAGACTTCTAGTATTTACTTGCGGAACTTGATACATAACAGCAAATGTGTGAACAAACTTTGGTTTGGCAAAGTGGCCCAGAGACCTCAACATTATCTGAACTACAAACAAATGTGAGTTTAATAAGTATTTGCACATTTATGCAAATTTGACTATTTTTCCCATGACATGAAAAACTTGGTGATATATGTAATCACAACAGAAAAAGTTACAAGTATGCTTGTACAAGTTAATCAAACAATTATCTCTTCTAGTTATGAACTTTGTACTCTTGCTAAGCCTTATCAAATTTCACTGGTGGAGAGTGTAAAATAACGTTTTTTTTAGGTTTTTATATATGCATTTTGATTTAACAAAAAAAAATCATAAATTACTATATAAATACCACAGAATTCCACTATAGTTTATCAGGCTTAGTAACTAAAACAAATATGGTTTTTCAAGCTCAATATTGTCTTACCTTACACTTGGAATCTACCAGGAAAAGAAAGGGTTTCCCATGTAAAGTCTCAGAGAACCATGTGAGGGACATTCTGAGCCTTCTACTGATTATTTACACGTCATAGACAAAGTAGGTGTACTTGAGGAAGTGTTTCCAAAAATGGAAAGAGATGGGCATAGCCATTCGGCAAATAGAAAAGATGGGAGGTTCTTTATTGAAGTTTCTCATTTGTAAGAATCTATAGCTTTTGTATTTAGACATCATTAAACATCTAATCTAAACCAATGCTGTATTTAATATTAACTTTTAAATTAAGAATGTATAATCTACAATATGATACCAAACTTATTAACATACATTCTTAAAGTAGTAGTTCAATAAAATTTTGAGTGCAAGACTACAAACGATATGACATGGCCTTTGACCCGTAACCACAGGAAGACCAGTCTCGGTAGGGTTAATAGAAGTAATGTCCTTATGATTTCTAAGAAAGAACATGTCTTAACCCCTTATCATCCATGGAAAGGGTTTTTCCATTACAGTAGCAAGGCTTTAACCACAACAAACCTGGCACGTGAAACATTTAGCATACAAGGGATTAAAGATTTTTTACATTTGTTAACAAAACAAACCTAGAAAAAAAGATTACTTACTCTTCTGAGTATACACTGGGGAGGATCTTTTTCTTTAGATCAAAATTTTCAGATTTTTTTTTGGAAGGCCTGAACATCATACTTCTCCTCTTCCTCTGGTCTGTGTCAGAAAAAGAAACTTTTCAGAGATCATTTACTGTCTAAAATCAACTAATCTATCACTTTATATTTTCTTCGAAAATATAAACTGTTCACAAAATTACTATGAATATGAGAAAGCAACCTACATTCACTAAAACTGGGTGTATTCCTAAGTCTTGTACTAGAAGATGATTACTGGTGAGTATGTAGGTATTTCACAAAACAAGCCTAAAAGATTTTATTTATTACAACAGCTACCAATGGGATGAATTTCTTTTTAGTAAATAACAACTTTTACTTTATTTTCTGAGTACTATTGGAACATTTCATTTTTGAATGTAAAAAAAAAGTATTACAGATATTTCAAGATTAATGGTTTATGTAACATGTTATATACTGACTTTAATAAATATTCGTACTGCATTGAGAGAAGACAATCATAACGTAACACGATATTGTTTGCAGCTGTTAGGGAACAAACTGTCAGAAGTCTTGATATTGGAAAAATTAGTTTTGACATATTCTTGTGTCCTTTTCAGTTTCCTGTTATCGGAGAAAAAAAAAGCTTTATTTCAACGTTAAACACAAGTTAAATCTCACCTATTCTGGACAGCTTTCTTAAGTGAACACCACTTATTTAATTCCTTGTCTCGAGCCAAAAGGATCTAATTATAAAAGAACATTTACAATTACAGTTAGTAACAATAAACATGAGTAAACTCTCTCTTAAACATATTGCTTTCACTGGACATAAACCACAAACAAAAATTAGAGGGGTAAAAAAACATTCTTTAATTTAAATTAAACTATTTTTATTACAGCAAAGGAAATACGTATGATGTTGGACATTTCTCAATATTTCGGTTATACACATTTTTGTTTTCAACATGAGTATATATGATAGGGTGTTAACTTCTGGAGTAAAAGAGATTACATCTGTTTCTTCTAATAGCTCCAAACGTCTCCAGTTAGCAGTATATTTTCTTAAAAACTAAAGGTTTTATAGTCAGTCAATTAATTGCTAAATACTTTTAGAATGAGTTTTTTTTTGTTCCTTACAAATGTCAAAATTAATAACTGAAAAGAACAACCATACTTAAAGATTGTTGAAAATGATGGACAGGGACACTGCTTCTGATATTTACCACAACTACACAAGGCCTATCTACACTAGCAATCCCTAATTTTCAACTAATAAACTAGAACTAAGGAATCTATTGAAAACTACCAACCTCAAACTCTTGGACTACTCTAACCAAATCAGTGGAATTTAATCACCACTCCTATATCAACCCATAAGGGTAATTTTATGGAATATAAACTATGGACTCTTAGATTCACAGTCCAGCAGACTAAATACTATGCCACTTCAGGATCCCCTGGTATACTATACATTCCATGAAATTTCTAATAGACTTCATTTTCCTTTACAGCTAAGTACTGGAGATGCTAGAAATGTTACTTTACTTCTACTCCAGAAACATGCCTTGTTCTCAGATGTCTTTCTTAAATAAAAGTTACCTTATCTTCAACAGCTAAATGTGTCATTTGTAACACAGATAAATAAGTGCCACGTTAGTTTCCATGAGTTATTCCTTTGCACACTATTTCAAGTAAATATTTTAACAGCTAAATGTGTCATTTGTAACTCACTTAAAACTACTATTTTGGAGATATTATAATATGCAGTTTTGTTACATATACTCAGAATATCAAAATATCTGTTGCAAAGCCTTGTTTTAAAACAAACTTTCATTCATAAGTTTACTACATGCTTAGAAATGGGTATAAAAACGATAATGAAAATAAACAGAGTATCCAAATATTGTCATTCTTCATGTTGTAGAAACATATATCTCTTAACCTACCTCCTCCGTTGAAAGACCAAAATCGTTTGGTACAACTTGGCGATAGCGGAAACGAACTGGTGTGTCGCCTATGATGTCTTCAAAGTCGAGTTTATAATATTCATCAAAGTATTCTTCAAAGGTCTTTTCAGCTGTAAAAAGACAGTTGCAAACAATAATTTCAGAACTGTTGGTGAAGTGATGAATGATTCAAAAAGTTCGAAATTCATTTGCAAGGTCATGAGATAAGACATGAAAAAAATTACACTTTCTTTCAACAAATGCAATACATACTTGGATTGAAAACAGGCTTGTTTCTCCTCAAAGCTGTTTGAAACTTTGACCATCTCTTTTTCTTTTTTTACTCTGTCCTAAAAGTTCTTCTTGCAAAGCTTTCTGAGGATCATACTCAGCATCCATCTACAACAGAAAAATAATGTATATTTTCAACTTATACTAGTAACCTTCACTATGTGGAAATACATAATTTCACTATCCTACAAACTGAGCCATTCTCTTGTTAAGATCGTTTTAAAATGTTAAATTTATAATAAACAAAATTACATTGCACAGTCAGAGTTCAAAGAAGACATCACAGCTGTAAAACAACGATAATTTTATTGAAATAATAATAAAACCCAACATTTCTGACAGGTGGCTCTAGGGTTTGATTGAAGATTATCCCAAGCTAAGGAACTTTTCCTACATTTGTAGTTTATGGGTTTTGTTTTAATTCTAGCCAACAATTGTAAAAAAGGCATGTTAGGGGTTTAGCTAGTTGTTTGTTTTGAATTTCGCGCAAAGCTACATTAAGGCTATCTGCGCTAGCCATCCCTAATTTAGCAGTGTAAGACTAGAGGGAAGGCAGCTAGTCATCACCACCCACCGCCAACTCTTGGGCTACTCTTTTACCAACGAATAGTGGGATTGACTGTCACATTATAATGCCCCCACAGCTGAAAGGGCGAGCATATTTGGTGTGATGGGGATTCAAACTCGCAACCCTCAGATAGCGAGTCGAGCACTCTAACCACCTGGCCATGCCAGGCCCAGATAGCTGTTAATTTGAGTTATGTGGCGGGTTAGCTCTCTCCCTTCTGCTGGTGAGGGTATGGGGGAACCTCTCCAGGAAAGTTTTGAAATTTAAACCTGAAATGGTAAATTCTGATGACAGTTTTTTTGCATATATGATCTATAAAATATTAACCCTAAAAGTGATAAAGTATTATAAAAAAATTTATATTTTGATCACTGACATTTGTTTTCTAAATTTTATTGAGAGGAAACAATCAGTAGTGATGGCTCAAATAATTATAACGTAAATCATGTCTGTGCAATAATCAGTTATTTTCTAATAATTGGTATAACTTAATTTGTCATATAGAATGGTTTATGAATCTTGTATTTACTATTGTATATCAAAAAAAATGTGTATCTCAAGTTTTCAATATTCCTAGCTATGCCCCTATACAAACACACAATAACAGGATAATTTTTACTTATACTTGGAAAAATAAACTGTTTATATATATACCTACATGACAAAAAACAAATGAAGATTGGTCTCAAATATTTGTGGATCATAACAAAGGAGAAAACACTAAGAGGCAAAAACATTCTGCCTAAATCTTTGTAACATGGAAAGTAACAAAACATGATATTGTTGAGACAAAATTTAAAAGTACTAGAACAACAACACATATATTCTAGAAAAAACAAACTCATCAAATAAATGTCCTTATCTACATAAATGTATCAATGATTTTAATGTTGTGTTATTTTTGCAAACACATTTTTTGAATGTAGTACTCAAAACTTAAAATTGTTGAACCCTCCCATTCTTTGTTAATATCAAGAATATAATTAAGCATAAACTTATAATTAATACAGAATAAAACACAACATTAACATAATCTACTCGTTTTTAAAAAAGGTTAAAACATTTTAGGTATTTAAGTACTATAATTTTTTTTTCTATAGTTAACTGACAGAAAGCAGTTCCAGTCAACATCAAGCATCAGTTTAAACTTATCAACCCATATCTAACACAAAAATTTATGTTATTAAATGTACCATGTCACTTTTTTAATTAAATAAATTAGAAAGAGTGAAAAGACTTTTTTCACAATGTAATAAGATTTTTATTTCATTCTTAAGCTTTCAAGAGTTCATGATCAGGATGATTAATCCTAGCCCCCACGATTAAGCCTATACCCCCACCTCTTGATGATGACTTGAAAAAAGCTTGAAAGGTTATGGTGAAAAAATAAACCTGAAAATATACTTCACTTGTTTAATTTTTTGCCTTTTGTTCACCATAAGCCAAAAACTTTCAAATGTTAGATCATTACATACGCTTTTAAACTTTTATATTCTGTTCCAAACGTTCTTCACAACACTTAAAAACACTTATTTCAAGCTTCTCTTAAATAAAACTTCACTACATAATTTGCTGTTTGATATTGTTTGATTCTAGTTTTCAAAAGTTAACCCTTACTTGACTATGGTGAAAGCAATGCAAACATTAATTTTTAAACTAAAAACATTTTACTTAAACCCAAAACAAGGAAAACATTAAAACCTAATCAGTAAGTTTAGCTATACTACACATCTGGTAGTTGGAAGGATTTGTTGTGCATGTTGAAAGATTAAATAACCCCATATTCATATTAAAAATTCATATAAAATATCATCATTACAAGAATACAAAGTTAAAAGGTTTATACATTGAAATCTGGATCTTCACAATGTGGCCCATCGTTTTCTTCATTCCACTGATCATCATGTCCCTGCCAGTCGTCCCAGTTTTCTTCTAAAATAAAAGGGTAATGTTAAACAATTTAAATAAATAACATTATTTTCTTTGTTTCTAATAAATAACATTTTCTTTCATGCACATTTTATCACATTCTAATAACTAAACTAATATATTCTGTTTAAATATCCTTGATTCTTGTATTTTCTATTAAAAGATATATACATAAACAAACAGTGAAGTACAAACAAAAAATCTTTACTTTAGTTGTCTAAATATTAACAAACTAAGTCAAAAAACTAACAGTTGGCTTAACACCTAAACTTTTTATTACTCATACAGTACAAAAATAATTAATACAAACCCACCTGCTACAGTTCAGTCTGTTAAGAAAAATTTGTTTGTCTTAGATATTCATGCAAAGATACACAAGGCACTAGCCATCCCAAGTTTTTAACTAATAGCCTAGAGAAAAGAATGCTAGTTAACAGCACCTACTGCAAACTCTTGGGCTACTCCAAATGAACAGTGGAATTGACTGCAACACTTATTACACACCCACAACCCCAGAGTGTGCAAGCATAACTTTGCTGCAACTAGACATGAACCCTGAGGTTCACATTATGACATACTAATTATTAGGCCATGCCTGACCACTTTAAGTAAAGTACCAAGCACAGTTTAAAAACTATGTTTCTAGTGTTAGTTACAGCATAAACCATTTCTAGTAAGAAAAAACATTTGTGTTAAAAAAATACATGTTAAAACTTTTCAATGTCAATACACCCTGTGAAAAAAAACTGAATACAAAGCATAAACATACCATCTATTTCTTCATCAGGAGGAAATTCTGGTTTTTGATCACCTTCTTCTACAGCATAGTAATCATCACTAAATAAATTCTACAACATGTAAAACATTATTATTATTATAAATATATCAATTTCAAGAAAGTACACTAAACGTTACATTAAAGTATCATTAAAATACACATATTACTTGGCTATACAACAGTGGTGGACACACTTATTTTTGTGGCATGCGGTTACTAGGGTGTGTTTGATCTCTTCTTCATCCACAACCATAACTTACAGTTATATAAGCTTTTTTGTATTATTATTTTATATTATTTTTACATTTTATTTTATATTATCATTATTTCTCTAACGTAAGAAAATATACCTTCATTTGTTCATCATATTTCACTGGATCAAAATCTCCATCTAAATCCACATCATCAAACCCCATTTTAGCATTTCCAGTTATGGCTCGTAGTTTATCTAGTTTCTCCAGGATTTCTTTCCTTTTCAATGCCTTCAATCGCTTCAGTTCTTCTTTTTTCTTACTTTTTTCCTAAAGTCAATGTGTATTTCCAATAATTAGCTAGTGAGAAATAAAATGTTCATCAAGCTCTGTTCAAATTTACTAAATAATGTTATTTATGAAAGATGGTTTATTACAACAAGAAGTATTGCTGACATCAATCCTCCTCCTTGTACCTCATGATGACAAAACCTTGTCGAAACGTTGTACATTTGCTGTTATGTTAAACTTATATTAAAGTATTTCTTCACTACCCATTCAAGCCATCTCTAAGCATTATTAATCCTCCATGTTGTACCTGATGATGACAGTACCTTGTCGAAACGTTGTACATTTGCTGTTATGTTAAACTTATATTAAAGTATTTCTTCACTACCCATTCAAGCCATCTCTAAGCATTATTAATCCTCCATGTTGTACCTGATGATGACAAAACCTTGTCGAAATGTTGTACTTTGCTGTCATGTTAAACTTATATTAAATTTTTTCTTCATTACCCATGAGATATTGACAATGATGTGTGATGGCTAGAAATGTCACGACTGTCTTAAATAAGTGTTGAATAGTGAAGTTAAGCTATGAAGATAGCTGAAGATATGTGATGTTTAACTGTCCATTTTGAAATTTATGACTTTGTCACAGTGTTAGCCAGCAAGCTGTAGAGTGAGTTTGTTTGTTAGTATATATTGCATTTGCGTTTCAACAAAAATAGTGAACTCGCAAGAAACTGTTTAGGTTCATTTGTGAGTCAGGCCTATAGAAGAATGTAACCTGCAGAATTTGTCCTTAAAGCTGAAGAAATAAATCACTTTTGTTTCAATTAGGTTACCTGGACTTGCTTTATTTTTCTGAAGAGTCAAGAACCTTCCCAACCTTAGAAACCACAAGTATACATATAAAAAGTATCAGAAAACTAAAGTATATACAGCCAGCTCATCCTGTACAAAAGACATAGCTATGGTATAGTACATTAAAATTTTAAAGTGAATTAAATATTGATGTGTTAAAAACTTCAATGTGTGTAAAAACAGTATGAAATACTGCTATCACCAAGACTACTTGTGCAAATTGTAACCAATATTCCTGCACAATGTGGGTGGCAGGGTGATGGCTAGAATTTGCACAGTCTTGGTGGTTGCTAAAGTCACTAATGTTTTAATACTTAAATAATAAGTTCAATGTACTTTTTCATTCACTCTGTGTGTGTGTATATATATTTATCTATCTACTTATGTAAAGTTAATATTATATGCAATTTAATCCATTGTTTTGAATGATAATGAACATATTAAATAAATAGCAGAAAATGTAGCACTTAACTGTACGTTATTTTACATGTATTGTAAAACAAATTTGTTATGAATATTTAAAACATTTGAAGTTACATTAAAGTTTAACTGACACAATAAATTGTATCTTATACATGTTTATAGGTATGTGAGCATATCTTTATAAACAGTGACATATGGTATTAAAGCATAATGATAACTACCGTAATTTTATTTTCAAGTTAATCCTCTAATAACTGTAACCACACACACAATCGTTTTCCAGTAGTTATCATTATAATTTAATGATAACTACTGTAATTACATTTGCTAAATTAATCCTGTCAGAAATAGAGCCAGAATCGAGTTTTATAATAAGACGATACAACAAATGTAGTGATACGTATTTAAGTGACTGGCACCTTATGAAATTGTGATAACTGTGTGTTAGTGAAAGATACAGTTCTAAACTAACCTATGTGCAACTTGCATGTAGAATGAAAATACGTTTGAAAATAAAATTTGAAGTATATATATATATATATATATAAGATCTTGATCATTAGTTTTGATTAGTTAAACTATAAAGTATAGGATTAGAAAACTAAAAAGTTTTACAAATTACAAAAACTAAAAAATAGGTTACCTTTACCTTACG